GGCGGTGCATCGGAACACAAAGAGTGATGTGTTTCATCATTTTGGAAGTGAGCAGTTGGATTCTGAATCCACTTCCATTTTATGTTTACCATCGTTGTCTTTGATGTATGCTCTTAATTCCACACTCCAGGCTGTCATTCTAGACACCTCGTCTGTCCTGTGAGCTGCTCGTCCTCTGTTTGAGACACTGACAGCAGTTTTAGCGAGCTCTGTCTCATCCAGCCAACTTGAGCAATGTGTCCTTTGTTGTAGCTGCAGCACACAGCTGTAGAAAAGGGGCAATCATTCGGATCGTGTGAACCTCCCAGTCGAAAACACAGTTTATCTTCATGTTCTCTGCCGTCATTCAGAACCCTGTTTTGTCTGTTTTTGTTTTAAGTCTTGTCTGATGCTGCTCCACTGGCATGACAGTGCTTGTTTCAGGTTCTGACCTCAACTGGCAAGAACTTATGGTGACTGTTTTTTCAGCCAGTGCTTCTTCCTCATCCAGTTTAAAAAGTTAGTGTTGGTTCTGCCAGCAGGCAGGTTCATCACGGATGCCACACACTAACCGGTCTCGCAACATGTCCTCCAGCTGGTCTCCGAACTCACAGACACCGACAATTTCCTCAGCTCCTCTACGTGGCTATGGGTTTGTCTTGCTGCTGTTTACAATGATGGCAATGATATCGCTGCACTATAGTGGACGGCGTCGGGTCATAATTGTTACGAATACTGTGTCCACAAGAGCGAGGAAGGACTCTGTGTGTTATTCTGAGATTTCCGGAGGGTCGGAGAAAAGGGTAAAGGGAGAGGAGATCGATGGCTATTTTTCCAAGACACTGGGCTGAAGTTGAGGTCAAGGGATGAAGGTTGTGTATCGAAGGCCAGAGGTTCGGTCAGGAAGAGAATTTCTCAGCAAAGAACGGCGAGGTAGGAGCTCCTAAAAAATACCGAGCGCCGATCTGAGGGTAGACAGGATTTAAATATCCCGGGAAGTGGAGGTCAGGAGTATGGTGTCGTGGTTGGATATTTGATCAGCGCGCTGGTGTTTCATGGAATTACCTGTAGGTGTGGCCTGATTAGTGAGAGGTCGCTTGTGGGATAGGATATGGTTGCTGGTGGACGTGACAATAATGTTTCTGCAAGCACTCAATGAATTCTGCATAAGCCACTTCAGTAGGTTTTCATGGGCCTGCGAGAGATCTGGGTGTTGAATACGTAGCTGCACTGCACACACTTAAAAGAATTGAACGTTTCTTTGCAGGGCTCACTATGTCGCTTGCATGAGAAAAACAAACACTCCAGCCTCCCTATCACAAACTTTCAGAAGAACTTCTGCTTACCTCTTCCCTCCCCCTCGTCGCCTGTGTTATATCTGCTTCACAATGTGGAGGCACTCAAGCATCATGCTGAAAGCCAACTATATTGAACAGCATAGCTTCCACTGAGCAGCTAACTGAAGCTATGAAAACTACTTTCCCCAGAAACACATAATGTAAACCCCCACTTCCGCTGAGAAAGGGCAGGAACAACTACTGTTCAGTTCCACAGCACATCGCAATAAACATGTTTCCAGGTGTGAAATATCTGTGGTAAACTGTACATACAATGACAAATACAATTGTGATTCTTTCGCAATAAAATAATATGCAAACTCATTCCAGATTTCTGCTAAGTGAAAATCTTAATATTAATAAAGTAAACACATGAATGAATGAACCTCCAGACCATCTGTAGCTAGTGCACCCTCGCCTGGCAGTAAGGGGAAGGGAAACTGGGTGTGAGCTTTTATTTCACTCTCCCCCACCATCCGGACAGACAAAGCTGATAAAAGTGCTAAAAGGGGGCAGTGTGTTAACACAGACTCTGCTAATAGAGCCGCTTGGAAGAGCAAGGTGCCTTTCTGCTCAGTTAAATGAAAGCTACAGTACAGACAGATTCTAAATTCTTCAAACAAATCAGCTGTTTGTCAAAATCAGAATCTTTGCAAGAGGTACACAACTTCTCAAAACTTACCTTTTATCTCGAGCAAACTTAACAGGGTTTATTTTTTTTATAATTTTGGGACTTGGATGGTATGCCTCAGGGAGTCATTCATAGTATAATCAGAACAAAACCCCCACTGGGTCCTATGTCCCGCTGTTCCACACACACGAATCCCATGAAGTCAGATCCACAGATATACCGAAACAGTAGCACACAGGGCAATGAACAGCAGTGTGATCAGATACCTTAAAGATACACTGGATATATAGGAACAAGGAAGAGCTGTATGGGGCTACTTGCCCCTCTGTTCTGTATATACTGTATACTATGATACCATATGGTTTTAAAGTAACTACAGTACATACAGTAGTGTGAAATATTTTTCATGATCAAAATTTAAAGTTAAATTGTTTGATGATAACTCATTGCTGAAATTTGCATAAAGACAAAATATAGATTGTAGATGTGGATGCAAACCTGAACGAGGCACATCACGCTCACAACAAACTCTAATAATAAACTATTTTTTATACATCCAACTTTGTAAAAGACATAGCTGAAAGGAGAGCTTTGATCGGGACTTGAACCACCTTCCTCAGAACAGCAACTACTTGTCTTAAGTGCTGTGCTATACTGCCACCCAGTGCAGTGCCCTACATTACAGTCTATGAGTGTTTCATTGTTCATTGCTGCTATAAGGACAATGACGTCTTTTTAAAAAGAATATCAAAATGTTTCCAAAATATCCACAAGTAATAATTTTAACTGCCCAGATTGCTTTAGTTACACAATTCCATATTAATGTTCCCTATCATGTGGTTTTAAAACAGTATTACACCTTTTTTTACAACAATGACGGGAAGTGTTCTTATTACATATTCTTAGGAAAGGATAAAATATTATAGTATTTATGAAGTATATAAACATTATATACATAGAACAAGCACATCAAAACTTTCTACAAATAACCACCATACATTACCGTAACTGAGTTAAAGAATTTGCTGCATAAAATATTTATGAAAATGGTGGAATACTGTGTACTTATTTTTTTATTTAGCTACCACTACCATCTACTGTACTGTGTGTACATAAGGTATATGTTACATATGACTGTATGGCTTTGAAGCCACTACAGAGCAGTATGTGTGAAATATATTTTAATAATAAAAATGTAAAGTTAGATTGTTTCATGATTATTTGTTGTTGAAATTTGCATTACATTAGGTATATATTATGTTATACTTTTTTATGTTCATCCACCAAAATTTCCCTTTAGTTGTACAATTCCATATTAATTTTCCATATGAAGTGGATTTAAACATGTACAGGAGAGATACAGATTAAATGAAGAAATCGATTTACTAACATCTAATGCAGCACAAGTGCCACCTATTGATCGGCCAGTGAACTGCATATCCCAAAACACTGCCCGACTTTTACTGCTTTTTCTTCTTTTTCACAGCCTTAGTCTCAGACTGTCCTGGGGTCAGCTGCTTTGGTTGCTCTTCTCCACTTGTCTCTGTCGAACACACCGTCCTCACTCACTTCACATACCTCCATATCTTTTCTCACACAATCTCAGCTGCAGGAGATTCAGGAGGGACTTACTGTATCCAGACTGATTAACTTCTCAGAGGTGTTGACAAGAAAGTGGGTTTCCATCACAGCA